ATTTTTGTTTACCGAAAATGAGCTCACCGTTGAGCTCATCAGGCGCGTTTTTTTTAGGCTTCATTTGAGTTCAACGATCAATTTCGATACTCTACCGCTAAGAAATTTTCTTATAAACAAACGATCGAAACTACCTGCGCATTACGTTAAAAGCATACCATACAGTTTTCACAGCTTTATTTATTTTAAAAATGGACCCCCCCCCCCAAAAAAAAGCCTACACATCGATGAGCTGGTGCGCCATTTAAACGCATTAGCACTAGTATACTAGTACTCAGAGGCAAGTCGAAATCAAAAAGCGCTGCCTATCGGCTGAGCGCTTAAAATATGATGTTATCGGGAAATATAGTTTTTTCGTAGAGCAGGAAGACTTACCTAAGACTGGCTTGACCCAGCTTCCTTGAAGCTTTCAGTAAGATTAATGATTTTAATTTCAGTCTTATCAGTTTATTTTTATTTGCAAATATTTTTTTTGTTATAGTAATATTTAGCGGATGAGTAAAGTGATACACTAGCAATTTTATTAAGTTTGGATTATTAAGATTTGTATTTTTAATATCTTATCTTATTTTATTTATTCTTTATTGAAATTTTAAGTTAAATTAAACCTTCTCCCTCCTTGTAGGACCTTTTGAGACTAGCGCAGGCTCCCTCCTCTCCTTAGGTAGCTTACGCAGCACTTAAACGGTGTCATACTATTAGAAAACATACCGAAAGAAATCAGGGAGTAATTGAGCTTGGTGGCGAGGCGTAAATGATTGATCAGCTATACTTCCCCATTTGACGCTATGGTAAAGAATCGATTTTTAGGGTGTTCGTTGTAAACACCCTGTTAATAGATCTTTTTCCACAGGTTTAGATGGAAAATCGATCGATTTATCGCAAAGCACGCCTCTCCACTAATTAAGTTTTCTCTTGATACGCAGTTAAAATATCGACGGTGTAAGTCCGCAACCACGTATCTCGTTTGCGGTATTTAAAAATCTCCGCACCTATTTTATTTTTTTAAAGGAGAACGAATCGACATCATTCTTTGAAGTTTTCGAAGAATTTTCTTGACCTTGAGAAGAAAAATCACGGCAGTTTTCAAGATTTGCCGTTAGGTAGTTTTCCATTTAAAAAATAAAGTATGACAGGAAGTCTGCGACGTCGCAAACCGAGAATCGTGGTCGCGGACTTACAGCGTCGATATGCGTGTTTGCGGTTACTTTGGGCTACTTTTTCTTCGGAAAGATTTACTCAAAGGGTTAGGTTGATCAACCAAGTATTGGATGAAATTTACCAAAACGTGGCAGTTTATTTTTCATAGTGTAATATTGGTAACGATACAAGATTATCCTATTAAATAGGAATATTAAGTCCATATTGCAGAGGTAAAAATTGAGAGGACTTTGAACACTTGTCAACTTCATTAAGATTTTAAGGTGGAACGTCGTGAACCATTCGCCTTGCCACTTCGAACACCCTTGTACACAGAGGAAACAAAGGATTTTACCACCGTAAGACATTTTATTTGTAATTCTTACCCTACGCGTTTAGAGGGAAACTATCATGCTAAAGTTGGACGTATTTCTATCAAACAGAATTATGTGCAGGTGAGAAATATGGGGTGTACCCTAGAAAGACGAATAAGAAACAATGTAAAAGTGGGCGTGATTCCTTTTGATACGATAATAAATGGCAAACCAGACCACCATTTATTCCCGTTCCTGAAATCTGAACTTGGAGGAGTTAATGTTGAATCAGGGGAAGAGGTCAAACAAGCCGTCTACTCTTTCATCCCCGGTCAGCTGAAAGACTTCCACGCGCGAGGCAACCAAAAGCTGTTCTCTTAGTCTCAGTATCAGACTTGCTTGGATCGAGCTGGTTATGTGGAGAAGTGAGGTAAGCCCCTTATTCTACAAAAATGTCTTTGATTTTTCGTCAGTGATGAACGACTGAGGCTTTGGCAGAGAAGCTCTTCTCCTGTAGCGGACTTTAAATCCTCGCGGATTCGGCGAGAGCGTCGAGCACTTCGGCGCGTTCAAACGGCTCGCGTTCGGCCGGACATGGTCCGATTTTGTTGCGGTTTGTTTTGTTGAACTCAAAATATCCTAAGAAAGATTTTGAGCCCAAGTTTTTTAAAATTGGTCCATTCTAATGGATTTTAGAGAGGGGGGGATACTTACTTATTGAACGCCCCTCGTATTAGCACCAACAAGTATGCATGAATACTTCACGCATTGCGCCAAACACAGTGCAGTCATTGCGGTCAGCGTGAAACGGATAGCGCCTACAAGAATGCATGAATACTTCACGCATTGCGCCAAACACGGTGCGGTCAGCGTGAAACGCATGAAGCCCACAAGACCGCGTGAATACTCCACGCATTGCGCCAAACACGGTGCGGTCTGCGCGGCGCGGCGCGGCGGCGGAAGTTAAAATTATTAAACCACATTTATGTTTGTTCTTTCATAATTTTTTTGTTCATTTCTTATGAATTAAAAGCCTTGTCCTTACAGAGATAGGTTTACGAAACTTAACTTTTGCTAGTAGTTTTGACAGGGCATTCCCAAAGCATGTGTTCAACACGAGTAAACGCGTCTTATGCACCCCTCCCCCGCTGGCACGTTCACTTGATGGTTTTTATTGATGTTTCAATAAGAATGAGAAGGAGGCGGCAAAATACAGGCGGCCCATGGGCGGCAAGTAGGTAAATCCGGCCCTGGCCAAGAGTGCATATAAATGAGTGTCCTTCCGCAAAAATGAGTAAGTGTATTGCAAAAACTATGTCAAAGACGTGTTTTACAAATGATGGGTCTTAACAAGAGACAAGAGATCCCTTTTTAGTATCTTGGCAATGGTAGAATCTTTTACTTTCGGGACTTCATCATCATATTGTTGACCTACCTACATGGTTGACGGTTAAGCACGTGTTGACAGTTTCGTTTTGCAAATGAGCCAAAGTTTAGCCCTGGATAGACGATCAAATTCCGAACCAATTCCGATCAAAGTAGACATGCTGATGACTGATAGTCACCATCTACCATCAAATTTTGACGGGCCGCACTTATTTGTTCAAAGTTAAATCAGAATGGAGTGCCACCATTCATCATTTCCTGCCACAGGAAACATTTCTGCCAAGTTTTCATTTTAAAATGAAGCAAATTAATGAATTTAAGACTGATGACTCCCGACACTTTGATGCTACTTTGATCGGAATTGGTTCGGGCATTTGATCATCTATCCAGGGCTTTTGGGGAACTTGTTTGGCTCATAACGTCACCCGATCTACCATGTAGGTAGATCAACAGCCGAAATAAGAGTGGTGACTGTTGCTCCCTTAAAATTGTCCGTATGGAATTGTTGAGTCCCCGAAAGTACAAACTTCCACCTGTCGCCAAGAGGCCTGTGGAGGGTCTCTTTTCTCTGGTCTTAACTAATCATTGTAATAATCAATAATTCTAAATATTTTGATTTCACATAGGTTCGCATGTCCTTTTGAGCCCTGAAAGCTCCATGCCCTGAAAGCTCCATGACACAAAACCTCAAAATTACCGGCATGTCTGCACTCTCCCTATATAGGTACTCTATTTAAAATGGACTACATTTCGCAATTCGAAACTACAATTTCTGGCTTATCTGTAAAAACAAGTATGTGCATAAGGAAACTGATGGTACATACATTGTTTCTAAACTGAGCCAGAAATCATAGTTCCGAATTGCAAAATGTAGTTCCAATGTTCACCGTCCACTCACTAAATGTAAAATTGTCATCTAGAACCTCAATTTTCTTTGACTGACGATCTATTTTCAGTCTAAGTATGGATGATACCGTCGCTCTTCTGACGTAAAGGCGTATCTCCATTACCACATGAGCCCCAGGAAACATTGAGTCATATGGGAACAGAGCTCACGTAGAAATCGAGGTACGCCCTCACGTCAGAACTAAAATATACGTTCCTTTTCTTCCGTCCAGAGGAAAAACGCCGTAACTCCAGTCAAGATTTCGAATTTTTCTTCCCCACATACTGTCCTATTACGAGAAAAACCTGATCACTATGATGCTTTGTTTCGTAAATCTGAATTTTTCAATGGCATACTCTAGTTAATTTGGATTTAAGAAGGATAGATGGATTGCATTTTGCAAAAAGGAACCACAAAAATTCCAATGTTGCTAAGATTGTGCAACTTTTTAACCTTGCAACTATAGACTGATCATCAAATTAAAATTTATCTTTACCCCCAATATACTATAAATTCAAGACGAAAATTACCTCTGGTTTAACTTTTTGCATGTCAGTGATTTTATTACAAAGATTGTAAGTTGCACAATCTTAGCAACATTGGAATCCTCTTGGTTCCTTTTTGCAAAATGCAATCCAGATGGTCGTTGATTTTTCGGTGATGAAACATATTTTCAATAAAAAGCTGAAAACATTTAGAATGGAGTTGCGGCGCTTTTGCTAATGACGGCAGTTTTATGCCTATCGGTGGTGATAGAAGTGATGTAAACGGATGAATTTTCGAATAATGTGATATATACGATGCCGTTATTTGCATAGATGGAAGTTACAAACAGTGAGGCAGCTAGAAATTTTTCACGATGATGGGGGAGGAGAGAGGGTCTACAAAAGAAAGTGTCTGTAAGCAGACAATCCTAAAAATCACGAAAGATGGATTTTTTGGGCGGAAATTTCTTTTAACGGAGGGGGGGGGGGGGGGAGGCAAGTAGAACCCCTAAATTCTTAGGTCACGTCATTACTTATTGATATTGCTGCTCATCAAAAAGTAGGACAGTACCATAAAAATAGCAAAAACGACTCTGCCTGCATTGAATTTAGGTCATTTTAGTATGGCTACAAATTTAAACGCCCAAGCTTAGTGGCTCGTTTGCAGAAGCTAAAATAAAGATATATGAATATTTTAAAGTTTCTACGAACAATTTCCACTAAATCATCGTGCAACTCGTTTACTATTGATAGGGTATGGATTTATGGGCTTGAAAATAGAACACAGTATTTATCAACACAGATATGCAACAGTATAATTTTTAGATTGCAAAATAAAAATCTCAGAAATTTTACATAACTGTTCTTTTTCACAAATATAAATATATAAAAACTAAAAACATATGTACTCCAATATTTCTCTAAGTATTGTCGCAAATTTCCCATTTGAATATTGTCAACTGGATGTGTGATATATTTAAGCACTAATATTCATCTTCAAAAATGGAAAAACATTTGGCGAGTTTTTCCCCTACAAGAAAAAGTATAATTGTGCTCAGCCACACAGAACCAATTATCATTTCAGAAAGATAGGATAAATTTTGTCTGCTTTTAGTGCTGTGCTAATTTTATTAAACGTCATTATTAATTTCTGAAAAGTCCAAAATTTCAAATCGATAGAGGGAAACTCACTGTTTTTGCACAAACTCTTAACAGGTTTTTGTCTTTCAGCTCGATTCTTAAATTTTTGGTAACAACCCACTTTAGAATTATTTGGAGTTGCACTACATAAAATGATCATCTTGTTACGAATACAGCTGACTTATCTTAGTAAGCCAAATTAAAATGAAAATCAATTAAAAAAATAAAAATATATTATTCATCACTTGTTCATTTATTATCAACAATTTCTTGGCATTTCAGAATAGCTTACAAAAGATTGGAGGTTTGACATTAAATTATTTAAGCCCTTACTAGTACCATCGTGTACTTTTAAAATATTCAATCGTGTGCTCCGATGAGCGTGGATCTCAAAAAAAGAAGAAAAAAACGAGAAAGCATGAAAAAAGCACTGTTCATAAGTTGTACGATATTATTGATAAAAAAGCTCTAGCTGCATGATTCAATCAAACCATTCAAAGCAGTTCCGTGAATTTCATTAGATCCTAAAGTTGTTTATCTGTTTTAGGGTATCGATTATATGCAAAAAAAATTGCCACAGAGCAGACACAGAGAAGGAGCTCTAATGCCGTAATAATTAAAATAATTCAAGTATTACAACACATTGAGATGAATTACGAATGGCTTGAGTATAATTACGCACCTCATAAATAACAGTAATAGGAAAACGAGAATAATATTGCGAGTTGTGCAAGTTACAAATGTGTGACAAGAACAGGATTCAAGGACACTGCCCATATTATGAAAGCAAAATTGATTTTATATCTTGAATGATTGGCTTTATCCTAATGAATTTACTTGAATACGATACCTAGAGTATGCATGTTTTAATGAATGCACGTTCAGTTAGTTATGGCATATTTTATTACGTACATCCGAACTTGTAAGATTGTCTGGAAGTTAGAAGGTACGTTTCCTTCAACTACCGATTTATTAAGGTGTCATGTCGGTATACCTCTAGATTATCGTAGTGAGCCTTGACTGTATGAAGACAAATAGAAAGCTTCCTCTATAGAGCCCTCTGGCAATGAGTGACTACTTTGCTTAAGGCTTTTACGAGTCATAAGTTGAGCGATGGACACAGCCCTTGAAATAACCTTCTTCTCTATCGCTCGCAACGTAGCAGACAATTTTTTCGACCAACAAGACACATTTTTTGACAAGCTGCTCAACGCATTGCTAAATGATATGCAAGAAACTAAGATAAGTGTTTCTCAAAAAACATGTCAATTTCCCGATATTAAAAATTCCCACAGTTGCCGGGGTATTGGAGGAGACACTTCATTTGCCTCAGGTCACAGGTTTCGTAAACGTTAAGTATAAATATTCATGCAATTTCTTATCATGAACATAGAATATTATTAAAAAATAATATTATTAATAGTCACAGAATAAAATATTAAACAATAAATACACTGAGAGAACTGAACTGTCGTAACTCATCTAGTTGATATTTACAAAATCTACTTTTAACGAAAATTCCTAGCAGAAAAATAAAATCATGTAATTAAAACGTAGATAGACTTTATTTGAACACTTTTATACACACGAAGAATACTTGTCACTGCAGCAGCAAACAACGATGCGAGATTTTGAATAAGTCGGATATACTTATTGGTGGATATAAGCGTCTTGTTGGCGTGTGAAGTTTTAAATTAAGTAAACCGACTTCGTTGAAATTAAAATTACGATACTAAGAGCTAAGAACCAATAAGTTCAATTACTTATTTACTTCAATTCGAGCAGTTAGACAGAATTCTTCATACCCTAACTTAGTCGTATTTCTAGATTTAAAATAAATAATCAAAAATAGAAGCTTTGTTTCCGGTATTGTCTTGATCAGCGAGAAGCGAACGTCTAGGACTGAACCAGGTTCAAGAATTCTTCCCTGGTCTTGGGGTCCTCGCGGAAGACGCCCAGCATTGTTGAGGTCACCGTCTTACTGTTGATTTTCTGCACACCTCTCATCACCATGCACATGTGCCTGCAAAAACACCAAAAATCACATTTAGACACAAGGCATATTCGATTCTAAACATAATGAAAATTTGAACACCTATGGAAGAAATTCATTTCGATGTTTTTAATATCCTCGAAGGTTCTATCTGATTTTGTTAAATCAACGATCAACGTATAAAACTCATGAACCTGATTTTTTGCAGTATTATATTCTCACCAATTTTACATCAGGGCTGTAATTAGGAGGGAATTATCTCAAACCTCTTCTAACTTCAAATCTGAGAATTCATCAAACACCGAGAAAATTGCTCAAAGCGACCAACAATATCGACGAGTTCTTGCGATATTCGGCATACCGATTTGCGATCTTTAAAACAGAACCGCAAGTCCAAATAATTCTGTGTGGAATTTAATGTGCGAGTTCATTTTGATTTGTTTACACATCATGAACCAATAGATGGCTCATTTAACACGAGAAATTTCGATTGAAAGAGACACTCAGACGCATTCCACCACCCTAGCATAAAATAAAACAAGATTGTGTGACTGTTCACACTAAAATTGGACCACGCCAAGCAGAAAGGAACCAAGCCACGTCAGCCATTACCAAATTTCATTGGGCCTTTAATTTTGTGCATGAAAACGGTTGTGCAAATTTTTGCGCGAATTTCAATGAATTTTCTGCAGAGTATGAAGCAAAATTCCTTGAAATTTTCAAAGGAATCCACAAAATGTTCTCTTGTAAAAACTTCAATTACCCAGTTAAATTTGGCATTAGGTAATGTGGCATAGTGCCTCTCTACTAAACGCGATCCAATTATCGAACAGCGAAATGAAACGAATAGCGTACAGGCACTAAATTAGTATACCGGTGGCACTTCCTGATCATAGCGCCACTTGATCGCACCGTTCAATGATGTTAGGCAAAACTCATCACTTATAGACGCCCTGTCCTAAGGTCAGTGCAAGATCGATCAGTGTCATAACTCATTATCTGATCTACGGTTTATTCATCGTTTCCGTACATTCGATGGCAGGTTAGACCACGCCAGAGAGCAAACAAGTGTCACAATCATAAGATGAGCCGGTTGTTTTTGACAATTGCCCAGAGAGAATTAACCCGAAATAAGATACTTACACTCCTTCAACAACAACAGCGACACCAGCGGGTTCGACGGCCTTGGTCACAGCTAGAGCAATCTGTTTGGTCAGACGTTCTTGTACTGCAAATAAAAAGAGGATAAAAATCAGTGAAAGATGCGACTGTGATACATTAATTTGTATCATTTTCAATACTTTAGAGGCTCATACGGCGTTCCTCCTCTGGCACGGCCTTATGGAGATACGGGGGTTTGCACTATAGACAAGCTTAGCCCCCCCCCCCCCAAAAAAATAGCTTACGTAATATTTGAACGGGATGCAATGTTTTTAATGTTGGATTTGAGTCGTAACTACCCTCCCATTCTCCATTACGTAACGTGATTCACGGACACAACCGTGACGTTGGGAATTCGGGATTGACCACACGACACGGCGAATCTTCCGGGTCGCCAAAGCGTAGCAAATCAACCGGCAATCAGTGAATTTTATCCTACTGACCCATCCTCGCAAGATCAACTGCTAAGAAAGTGTCATCACTTGCAGAATTCCGTGAATCCATCATCACGCTCTGTCGCGTCTCTAATGGACCGAAACGGCCGCGAGACGCGGAGCAGTGGCGAGGCGTGAATGATCGATTATCGATATTTCCCATTTGAGGCTATAGTAAAAGATCGATTTTTAAGGTGTTCGGTGCGAACACCCTGTCTATCAATCCTTTTCCGTAGGGCTAAATGACAGATCAATCGATTGATCGCAAAGCACGCCACGCCACTACGCGGAGTACTACGGCGCACAATGGAACGAGCTAATAGAAGAGGCTGGACATGAAATGTTGGGCTAAAACTGCAAATTTTGATGTTTTATTTTGAGGGGTGCTTCTAGAAAACAATTTTACGAGAAAACCAATGGAACAACCTTTAAAATCTCAAAGTGCTGAACTGCCGTGTTAAGGAAGAACGCCGTATGAGCCTTCAGGCGTTGCCATATTTCCTCCAATTAAAATCAAATTTACCGCAAAAATTGTGAATATTGTTTTTTTCAAATTTGTTAGCCAATATTGTTCGCAATTAAATCTGGAATATCTAGAAATTTCAAGGGAAAATATGCACAACTTTCCTTAGAAATGCTTGTTTTAGCCGGGGGAATTTGACAACTTTCGAATGGTCATACGGCGTTTTTCCTTAGCGCGGCAGTGTATGAATGGAGTTATGAGCTTTTAAAGTTTCCAAATCATGTCCGACCACTTCCATTGACCCGACCCACTATGCGGCGGCGCAATGCGTCGCTGCTTTGATGAAAGGGCGTGCCTCTATTCTCACACGAGCCTTGGAAAGCATGGAGTTATACGGTGAGTGGAGCTCATGCGGAAATGAAGATAAGCCCTTACGACGGAGGAGCGACGAATGGAGAGAATCGATGACAGATGTTGGTCATAATGTGTCAACTTTAAAAGCTTATTCCTTTGCTCATACGAAATGTAGAGATTTCAAAATTATTCCATTGGATTTCTTGTAAAATTTTATCTCTGGAGCTCCTGTTGCAATTCATTTTGTGACGGAATAAACAACACAATTTTTAGTTTTAGTCAAAAATATTGGGTCCGATCTCACACGATGATTTGTTCCACTGTGCGGCGCTCAGCCTCATCGGAGGGTTTAATTTCATTCATGAATTGAGTAATAAGTTTACAAGTCTTATAAAGGTGACCACGGGAACTTGCTTTTATTTTTTTATTTACTTTGGTTCAGTGCTCTGATTTCGTGCCGTAGCTCAGTGTTATCAGTGCTATAACTGTTTAAAAAAATTGTAAATTTTAAAAAAATAACTTAGTCCGTTTTTGCATTACTTTTGAGTGTGTAATGACAGTTTGATCGATTGATTGATTAAGTTTTTCAACAGATCAAGTGGACGTATTTCTATCAAACGGAACTATGTACATTATGACGTGAGCCCCGTTACACATATATTCTTATGGGTCTCAGGGCTCATGTCTTAATGCACATAGTTCCGTTTGACAGAAATACGTCCAAGTGAGTCATTGAGTCTGTGTGTCTTACCTTGCAATCTCCTACTGTAGATTTCCACTATCCTGGCTAATTTGCTAAGACCAAGGATCTTCTTGCAGGGCAGGTATCCGATGGAAACTTTCCCATAGAAAGGTACTAAGTGATGCTCGCACATGGAGAACATTTCAATGTCCTTGACGACCACCATTTCATCGTGGTCCTCGTCGAAGACAGCGTCGTTGAGAACATCTGAAAATCAGAGAGGGAACCAATTCAGCACGTATTTTTCTTCACACTTATGAATAGAATACTTAAAATATAAAAAGAACAACATCCCTGTAAGAATGTCAAAAACTTCATTTCTTATTTCATATGGACTGAGTTTGATAAAAAGGCAACAACCCACGTGGAGATGAAACTGAGAAAAAAAGGTTTGAAGCTTTCCGTTTGAAGTTTCTCCGTAAGGCACAAAGTAAAAAATAAAACTGTCAGGTCCTTTGGGTCCACATAATTCCCTCTTAAAGTACGTTCTTATATTTTTTTCTCTCCCTGCATGTAAAACGGATATTTCTTGCACATATCTTGAAAATCGGTAGTGCAAAACTACAAAATCATCTATCTCGACAGCGTTCCCCCTTCGAAAAGCTTGAAAGTCTCCTATTGTATTTTGAGAGTGAAATTCCCCAACTACGTGTCTCGGTTTGTGAACGTTGCAGACTACCTGTCATATTTTAAATAAAAAAACTTCTCAACGGTAATTTTCAAAAGCTGCCATGATTTTTCTTCTAAATTCAATGAAAACTTCAAGGAATGATGGTGATTCGTTCACCTGTTAAAATACAAGATGAGAGCGGACATTTTTAAACACCTCAAACGAGACACGTGGTTTGGAAGTTTTGCCATCGATTTGGCACTTAATATGCAACCCTCGTATTGTAGCTAGAACTTTAAAAAAAAATTACACTTGAAACCTGGCAAACACGTTACATAGTAATTAAAAGTAAGTCAATGTGTCAAGAAGTAACCCAGTGAGGAGTTTTGCCACATAGTCGATAAAAACGACTTCTTGGATGATTTTAACGTAACCGTGTGAATTGTCAATCCAACAACTTGCCAACTGAGCTTCTCAAGGCATTCAAGGTTCTTCAGTGCTAGCCTACGGGCACTGAAGTTCTCCTCTACTTAAGACCGTGTTTTTGCACGCGAATCTAGTACCTAAGGAGCAGGTTATTGTTGACTTGAGTGTTTTTCGCGAGGTTCTGACGTTTGTCACTGAAATGTTCAATCCTGCGGCGAGGTTCAACCTTCGGGGTGGCGCCAGTCCGCAACTCAAGAGTAAGTCTCTTACAAAATAATGTAAGTATCACGCACCGGTAATTTGCACTAGGCTCTGCTCTTTTAGTGCAGAAAAGACTGATCTAACTCTCCTGTCGAGACTACGTGGTAAGCATATTTTGGCGTTTAAGCCAATCATATACCAGTCCTCTTGATGAGCGGACCCCTAATCAAATTCCCACCAATCCCATCTATGTCCAATATAATAGTAACTTTGTCAAAGGAATTTAAGGATCTTTGTGTACATAGTAGTCTTGAGTTTTAAATTAATGATGCCTCAAGACTTTCTGCAAAGTGAACTATTTATTGATTTTTAACCGTCGATTATTCCGAATCTCGGCTGAGTCGCACATAAGTTCAAAACTTAAATCGCACGACCCAATGATTTTACAAAAATCTACATTTGATTCACTCGAGACAATTTTCCAGTTGCATCGTTTAAATGCCCAATTTTTGACCAAGTCATCAAAATAAACGGCAGATAGTCAAATTACACTCTCTGACGTAAGTATTCCTCCCAGAAAGGCAATCGGTGAAAATCTTGAAATAAACTGATAGAAAGAAAACCAAGTGACTGGTATGGATTTCATTCAGTTGGAAAAGGAATCACTCGCGAACTATCAGCAACTGCAAAAGCGCTCGCACTAAATAAAATAAAAGCTCCATTACAGTATTGCCAATTTTTATTGAAGTTCATGAGCACTATTGGTAAGAGTGTGCCGATGGAGAACCGCAGAATCTTCTAAAGCAAACTACCCTCTTATTTATATTTATGCGCCCTTGATAAATTGAATGGTATCTGCTCTATAGAAAACATATTCTTACAATTATAGGCTTTGAAGGAACCGCCCTGGCTAAGGAACCGCTTAAAAAAGCTTTTTTGCGCTTTCAAAAAAGTCCCACATGAATGGCTACCATCCGAGACTTTTTTCAAAGTTTAACGGACATCATCAAAAGAAACATGTGTCTCAATTTCGAGGTCATCGGTATACATACTCGGTGGAGGTATCAAGGCACATTCCACATTTTAAGTACTATCCAAAACCGTTTCTCAGGTTTTATGTCAAAGTGGCAGTTGGGCTTCAAGTGACTTGCAAGGAAATTTGATTTTAAGATTCTGACCCAGAAAACAATCCTCGCGCCCAAACACTCTTACGTTCAATCTACTTGAGATGAAAAGTTCCACAAGTTGTTCCGGAGACGCCAAATTTTCGGTAAAATTGCGTTCTTCCGAAATACCTACTTACTCGGGAGTGCAAGAGTGATGACCTACCGCGAAAGCATACCTATTAGCCCCTTATTTCAAATTAACCATGTTACGAACTCGATTATGATGTGTAAACTTATTTATACAGCGTCCTGTACACGTTATAGAAGACAAAATTGCAAAAATGCATATCCCAACTTGTAGTCACGCTAAAAATTCCCTCAAATGTTTTGCCAGTTCCAGCGAAATTCTATTGCTTGTTGGAGTTCGTTTCACTTCTCTCCCGTTTTTTAAGATAATTTATCAATGATGTAGAGACAGAAACTATACCCATATCCGTGAATATAGCAAGTTGCTTCATCATACCTCATTCATGCTTCAGAAAAATTTATTTGATGGCGCCAGAGGGCGTTACTCCAAAATAAGCTGAATTAGACGCAAACATTCCGTTCGAACTGTTAGGATGTTATTCGCCAAAGTTTATGCAAAAATGTATAATCAAATTCAAAAGAAGCCTTGAAAATGTCAGAATTAGAATGAAGTAATATGTATTCGCGAGGTGCATCGTTGATATATTTCTATTTTTCAGGCAACAATGCGTCACATGCGCTCTGTACAATTCCAGAGGTCCGTTGATAAAGCAAGATAAATGAAGCTCTTGCGTAACTTATTCCAGAGAGAAATCCCGCTGGGTAGTTTGCAGGACTTTGACAACCCGAGGAGAGAGGGTAGGGGAATGGGGGTGAGGGGAGGGGAGGGCGCTAACAAGTGGGTCGTGGGTTGAGAAAGGCTCGCGGTTGGAATTTAAAGAGGAAAAGCTTTTACCGAAAGGTGAACTGACATCACCAGTCGTCGTCGTCCGGATGGAGAAGAGAATCCCTGAGCCCCTTTGATTTATTCTCACGGTTACGTCGGTGTTGATCAGTGGCGTGGCGTGCTTAGCGATTTATCGAATGATCTGCCTCTTAAACTTATATGTACAAATAGATCGATATACAGGGTGTTCGCAACGAACACCTTAATAATTCGCGCTTCGACACTGGTGTTGGTCGCAAAATCCCAGGAATAATGTCAAGGGGTGATTATGATCAACAAATTTTAATCAGCTGAAACATCTCCTCATGTAAAATGAAGGAAATGGTGGTCTCGTTGAAAGTTTGAAGGGCAGGGTGGCAAAATTTCATGAAAAATAAAATCTTGTAATTTCACGTAAGATAATTCATGAAATTTCAGACATTTATGACTGATACTGAAGAATACCGGTTCCTTTTCATGTTTCGCAAAATCTAAAAATTGCGACTCTCTCCTATCTTTGTGTGTTTTAGTGCGGGTTGCATTCTCAAGCCCCTGAAAAATATGAAATATTTCGCAGCCTCGTGAAATTTTATGAAATATTTCACTGAAATTTCCAAATCTTTCATTTCTTTCTTACGTTACATGCCACCCTCTTGAGGGACCTCATTCGAAGGATATGACACGGGATGATGGAGAAAACATTTTAAAAATCCTACTCTCTATAATATAAAATCATAAGGGTGGTAGGGAAGGGGGTAACAGGTGCATACTTGTGAAAAAATTGATTTTTTGTCAATTTTGCAACCTTGGAATGGAGTTACGTTCCTTTGTCCGGGAAAGGGCGAAAAACTGGAGGAAAGCGAGGCAACGCATTTAATTAGGGTTGCTATCTCGCCGTGTCTCGCGCCCTTTTCAATCTGGGCTAGAACGGGAGGGGCGCTGGAGAGAGAGGGTAGTGGAAGGGGCGACCTGTTGCTGCTAGACGAAGCTTTCGGTTGCCATGGCGATGAATTGAAGCACTTGGAAGCTCGATAAGCTGTTCAGGGAGTCACCGTGATTGTCTCAACTTCCCGAGGCTTAGCATGGGTCTCACTTATTTGATTTCTAACTTCGAGACCCGTCCAAACCGAATTTCTCGAGCTGAGATTAATGAGTCGTTTAAAACAAACCACCCCTCCACCCCCATCTTGTTTTCATCATCAACCTACTGTCTGCTGAAATATGAGGGTTGGAATCATGCACAATGTATTGTGGGGGCCGCTCATAAATTCCGGATTTTTCGACTCCTCCGCCCCCCTCGTAACGCTTTGGTGACGTAGAACCCTAACCTTCAACAAAATGACGTAACGCTAACTTCAACTCCCTTCCCTCCCTCCCTCCCCCCACGAACGGTTTATGGACAGCCCCTACAGAGATTTCGACGGTGAGACTACCAGACCACGTATCTCGTTTGCGGTGATTAAAAATCTCAGCTTCCATTTTATGTTTTTGACGGAGAACAAATCAATTTCGTTATTTGAAGCTTTCACAGAGTTTCCCTCGAGAGGAGAGGCAACATTATGAAATTTTTCAAAACTTGACGTTGAGTGGTTTTCCATGTAGAAAATAAAGTATGACAGGAAGCCTACAACGTTGCAAACCGAGATACGTGGTCTGTTAGTTTCACCATCGATATGTTCTACAGTGCAAAATTCATCCAAAACTATAAAGCTACCCCCCTCCATGTAAAACTCTCCCAAAATCTATCAGTGTCATAACCTAAACGCTCCGTTGGACAGCCAGGAAATTTTTCAAGAAATCTAAACTAACGCACTGTACTATAGTCTTATCAGAGTTTCATGTGACTGTGTCAAAAATTTAAAAAATGTCGGCCTTCAAAAACGAATTTCACCCCTCGCTGTCTCGAGGAGTGTGAAAAGCGTGAGGGTGAGATAGGGAAAAGTGAAAAGTTTCCAGCCTCGAGTGGCCTGTTGTTCGATTTCCGACGCCGCGCCATGGCCTGCGCCAATATTGGCCTAATTATCCAAATTGCTGTCGTCACTTCGCCCCATTTCGCGCCGCTGCGGCCCGAGTAAGCCCTCCCCCCCCCCCCGTCCAACTCTACTCATTCCATTTAGAACCCTTCTACCCCATTTTCTGCCATCCCCCAAGTGTCAACTGTTGCTCTCATACAGTGGCGAAGCGTGAAAGATCGATTATCGATTCTCCCCACTTGAAGCTATGGTAAAGAATCGAGTTTTGAGGTGTACGTTGCGAACATACTGTTTATCCATCCTTTCCCATGGGTATGAATGACGGATCGATCGATCTATCGACAAAGTACGCGACGCCGCTGCTCTCATCCAGCGTCCGTTATAACTATGCCTCGACTCTCTTTTTTTACTCACTATTTCCTTCTTCTCACGTTTTGTTGATCCTTAGTGATTTCTTCAGGGATTTCACTCTTGATCGAACAGCGCTGGGCTTTAACCCCAAAAATTGAGGAGAATTCAGTGTTACATGTCATAGTATCCAAAACAGAAACTAGTTCTCAGACATTGCAGGGAACACAGTTATCTCGCTACACGCTTGCACAAAATACCTATACTTAGGGTGGGGTGTTTCTCTGAGGACTAATAATTGGACGTAGTTCTACCAAAGAGACCTATGTGGAAGTGAGAAATATGGGGTGTGCTCGTTAGTCTCTGGCCGTAAGAGTGAATGAGAATAATAAAGCGCCAGTGACGTCAGCGGCAATGAAAAAGCGGGGGTGAGACGTCGTCGTCGTCGTTGGAGCTCTTTAACTCATGAGCCCTGTCCACAAGGTTCTATTGCCCTGCCCGCGGCTCATGAGTTCCGCACTCAGTTGCACATAGGTCTGTTTGATAGAATGCAATATCCCGCTTTCCCAATTCTTCAAAAGGAACCACGCCCACTTTTACATTGCTTCTTATGCAGATTTCTAGAGCACACCCCACATTTCTCATCGCCACATAGGTCTGTTTGGTAGAAATACGTCCAATTTGTGTAACTATTTATGCGTGGTGGATCTTTTTTAGTGTAAACGAAGAATTAAAGGCACTTTGTCATTTTGAAATCTTGCAGTATAACCCGCTGCAACGCCGCAGGTGAAGTGGTGAGTGCCGAATGGAAGCGCCTTAATGTCTGTGCTTATGCAACACGGATATCCGTGAACCACAAATTGTTGCATCTTGGCGCTATACTAAAATTCGCTAAATGTTCGTTGCTTCGTTTGTTTCTCTCGTGCCTCAACTTACTTTAGCGTCACTCCCAATAAAGTAAACTATTCCTGATTTTGATCGTGACATTGTCAATTCTCCGAAAAATGCTTTAATTATTTAAATGTGTTACAGCATTGCCTTTCGAAAATGTGGGTTGCGGTCCTGCACTTCCTAACCTAAGAGCACTTCTAGAAAACAATTTTCGAGCGCGTTACGTAAAATTGATCTGTACTTGATCATGCAAACTCACCTTCTAATGTCTGATCGTATCCTTTGGTGAAGAAAAGCATAGCTTTGGCTGCTCTCTCTGGCGTTTTGAGTAATCCTTGACGGTCAGGATTTTCTCCTAGTGATGTTAATAGTAATCTATAGGAACGGGACATGTCGGGTAAGAGGGCCTCTCTCGTGGGTGGCCTGTGGTCTAACTCCAAATCGTGGTGGAAAGTACATTTTTCGTGTCCTGCGCAAAAGAAATAAAGGGTACAAATTAGACACTTGAAATTCAGTTCGCACGTAAAAAAGGAAAAATATTCTATAAGAAAACTGAGCAGAGATGGATAAACATGCATAATTCCTATGCACTGGCATTCTATGCAACAAACATTACCGCTCATGGCAATCTATTCTATTAATAAATTGATTAACTTCTAGGGTTGATTGATTCCCGGAAGTTTGGAGCACACGGAACATGATAAAATAAGTAGAAATGACCAGAAGACATTAAAAGTGCAAGTGCTGTTTAACAGTGTCCGTTTAGGTCATCAGAGGGCAAGTTTTGGACAAGAAAACCAAAAATTGCGGGAAACGGTGAAATTATGAACGAAAATGGTGCAAAAGTTGAAATTAAGGTTTTTAAGTTGCAGGGCAGTAAACATGTTTGACAAGAATGTTTTGATGTTTAGATACCTAGAAGAAATATTTCGTTGAATGATAATCATGGAAGTACTTTCGTAGCAATATCAAATTTATTGCAATGAGGCCACAATTACTGAGCCCGGACTTTACAATGAAACCATTGCTTTCTCTCAAATCCTTCTGTTCCATATTTAAGAATATTTTATGAAACAATGCGAGGTATCTTAAATTATGGACGAACAAATATTGGGAGAGATTACGTCAGAGAAATACAGGAGGTTATTTAAGTCGGCAAATAAAACGATATCAAGCTGTGTTCTGCAGTTTTAATGGCTTTCGTCGTGACCTTTCGTGGTGTCTCCAAAAAAACAAATCAGGCGAAAACAAAACACAATGAGTAGTCAATCCTGATTGAAAGATGAATAACTTTAGGATTCAGTGAACTATCGAGAAACTTTGGTCTCGCTCTGGAATTATTTAACCTTTATCTTTATTAGTTTTCCATTTCATTCCACTCCAATTGTTTTCCTTGACGCGTTCTCATGATGGACTTGTAAACTTGTTTACAGTTTTTCCCGGATTTTCAAAGAAAAAACTTTTGGGGAAATACACTCATAGCAGGAAAAGACATTTTTAAATACAAGATGGAGATTCGTTTAAAGATTAGAAGATCAACCATGACCCCGTCGGAATGCGAAGCACCAACATGGGGAGGATTGACACAACAGTACGCCCTGACACTGTGTGCAGGAACTCGCGCCTTCATTTCGCTAAGGTATACTATTTGACCGACGCCAGAGGCCGAATAGTTGCTCGTCGATAATTTACATTACGATTCATTAAATACTTCAACCACGAAAGAATTGCCAGGACGAATGATTTTTACTTATAATTATTATTATTAGTGAGGATTGCTGATGCAGCTTAATGAGTAGTATTTATTGTTTCTGTGGGTAATAGTTCATTTTTCTTTCCAGCGGGCTACTAAGACATCGAATTGCGATATATTTCATGGTTAAGATAGGGATAGGTATATCTTTTCTTGTCAGGCCGACGTAGTTCCAATAATCGGGCCGCTGACAGAAATTTGTATGCTCATGTGTATGCTCCTGACAATACAAACAGATCTTTTTCCCTCTTCTTTAATTTAAGAAAAAGGAAGGGGAGGCAAAAGGAGGAAAATTAGAAGAAGAGGGAAAAAACGAATGATTCTATGTCTAGAGCGATCCGGAGAATTTTACGTTCGATGTTTAATTTTCATTTATAAAAACTTCAAACTAAAACTTAGATCAAATTCACTGCAAAGAAAACACGTACAATGCAATGTTGAATGGTACGGCTTCTTCTGACTCGACGTAAATGAGAAAAAAATTAGAGCGCGCAACAATAATAGTCTTCCAGAATTAATTTATTGTGTATTTCGTGGTTTATTCTTTTTATTTATTTATTTTTTCTTTGGAGCGAAGGAAAAAAACTGGTTAAACTATACGACTCTCTTAAAAGGTGGAAAAAGTTGCCAAATCTCAGAACAATTGCTATTTTCTTTCAACTAAACCTGATCAAATTATGAATATGAATTCTTCATTTTTTAATGTCATACTCAACCAAGACTCATTAATGGGAATCTTAAGGTACGTTACGGTCCTCGAGTTAAGCCCTCCTCTTGGAAAGTATAAATAAAATGAAATAACTCCTAACTATAAACTCCTGGTTACCTTAGTCCAAAACCGCGTCCCTTCATCAATTTTATGGCTATATGAACTGTTTAAAAGTATTATCAATTCAAAAAATCTTAAGACTGGAAAATTGACATCAGCCGTTTTCGTACGTCCCGATTCAATTACATTCAATTTGATGACATTAACTTAAAATAACGACGATACTGATGAGTAGGTCATAAGAATGAGACTCCAAATTTTTCAGGAAAAAAATGAAAAGTCTGCCAGACAATCGCTCTAGACTCTTCGATTGTACTTTCGTCAACCGACTAGTAATGGTCTCGTCTAATGAATGAAAGTTCAACTTGTGGCGTGGCTTTAGGTCGGCCGACCTGTTGCCATGTACCGCGCCTCTCAGAGCCGCTCTCACGTGTGTCGCTGAACTTATCAATTGTCGATTAATAACTGGGCTTTGGAATAAGCGACCGGTGCCAATTCGCACCATTAAAACACGCATTTCCCGCAAGGTATAGTGACAGCGGACCTGCGGAATCCGGCCTTGATGAGACCAAGTTTTGAATTTAACCGATGCATCTCGTGCATGGAGTATATAGACGCACGCCGTCGTGTTACGTCACCCCTTCAAATGTTGCCGCTTGGTGCCATGAAATGTTGTTTATCCCCTCTCCTTTCTCTTTGTTACTACCAAAGCTCGCAGATTTAAAATTAGAGACAACATATTTTAAAGACCCAAACCATCTAAGGAATGTGATTGGATGGGGCAAAAGTATTCACCAGCTTCCCAAAGAAAAAATAAAGTGTGACAGGAAGTCTGAAACGTCGCGATCGGAGATATGTAGTTTCGCACTTTGGCCATCGATATATATTTAAAAAAAAAAAAAAAAAAAAGTTTTGCAGTTTATCTGAACATAAATTCGTGTGAAGTATTCATTTGCCGACTTCAAATTTAGCTATCACGCTGACGGACTGTCTGGTTCAATTTTTATCATGTTTTTGTTGTGAGTTTTTCATGCAGTTTCCGTCGCACCGGTAACTGGTACTCTCTCATTACTCCGCTCCTCTGACGTAATCGTATATCTATTTTCACATGGGCCCCGGAAAGCATGGCGTTATATGGACAAACAAGCTCACGTAAAAATTGAGGAATGCCCTTACGCCAGAGGGATGACGACTTTCTTGTCCTCCAGTGGCGTGGCGTGCTTTTCGATATATCGATTGTTGTGACATTTAAACCTACGGAAAAGGATCGATAAACAGGGTGTTCGCAGCGAACACCTTTCTAATCGATTCTTTACCATAGGTTTAAATGACACAACAATCGATTTATCGCAAAGCGCGCCACGCCACTGCTGTCCTCCTCTCCTTCTTTAATCTCCAAAAGCGCTTGAAACATTCGCTATGCATCCTGTCGGGGGTCGGAAATAACGAATCGAAGCCGAGCTTAAATGACCCCAAATATTCTTGCACTTGAATGAACTGCGGAGAAGTGAATGAACTGAAGAATTTAAGAAAGTTCTGTCTATCTGTTCTAACCATCCAACTGGTTTCCGATTTTGAAAGAAATGTCTACAGTCCTAGTACAAAAACGCAGGGAGCTTAGGAAAGGCGAGTGTTCTATTATGGCAAAACAGGAATGATGCCTACCTACTCAACGAGAGGATTATTTCAAGTCTAAATATTTTTTTTATGATAAAAAAAAGTAGGATGAAATGCGATAGAAAATGTTTCTTTCGAGACGAACCGAACTCAGAACGCACGAAAGTTGATTTGAAATTGAATTTTATGCACTAGATCACAGACGACGATTGTTTTAGGAATTTTAAAAAACTATGGTTAAAATTACCAGAATAGTAGTGCCCCACGTGAACTATAACTTAATAGTATGCAAAACATTACCTATGATAATAATAGTATTTTTACAATTAAGTGACACTGTTTCTATTGGTATAGTGATGAAATGCCCAACGTAGTGGTAAAATTACCAATATTGTCGGTCATGATCAATGGTTTGATGATATGAGGGTTATGATTAAAGAGCTCACATGGGACGCCGCTGATATTAGAATTTTAACTATAGTTTTTTTCAGTGTCCCAATTGATATACATGTTAAGTAAAATGAAAGTATTAATTTGGTTTGCTTGCGGATTGAATGCTGACGAAAAGTCTGCGTCTTCAATTGCAATATTATGTAAGATCGTCATAACGACATGGTTATGCTATGAACACGTGCCAAGAAAAACATTGCTGCATTTTTTTGAAAAAGCGGAACGTGATGGTATTTTCACTAGTTTAGTTCAAAATCGCAGTACAGTTTAGTACATTTTGCATACTCACGAAGTACACGTATAACTCATTATTAAAAGATTGCCATTAAATGCAAAAAAAAGCATGCCTTGACGTGAGTGGATTCAATAGTCTTAACTTCTAAGAGCAGATGAAAACTTCAGTCCTTGTAGGACAATAAGGCACAGGCACATATTTCACCCTATTTTTTAACGATGCGATCAATCTTTCTTTCGAGGAGGGAAAAAAGTAAAAGTCTATCAAAATAAACTGATAAATTAGTAAAGTAATATGTTGTATGGCTCCACAGAATTAGATATCATACAGCTTCCCTTCAGTTGATCGGAGGAAAAATGGTGGAAAATGGCAGTTCATACTTATTCCTAAAATGAACAACCGAAAGCGGATCACTTTCCGTTTTTCATCCCACGTGCACTACGAACAGAAGGATTTAACACCGAGAATATGGGTTTTTTTCTGGATTTTTCCGCTTTTTTTATTAGCAGCAATAGTAGGTAATTTTTATGTCCAATTTTTCGGTTTTGACGATAGGGATATCAAGGAAGAGCAAAATGGTCGTCACTCAATTGAAAAGTCAGAAGAGTAATCACAGATTAGTATGGCATAACCAGTTCGGCCGAAGAGGTCTGAGAAAATGTTTTCATTCCACGTAATCTTAGATTTGGATACAGGGAGCTAAATTTTGTGTGCATCAACATTCAGAAGGGCATTATTAAAAAAATGCATTTATTTATTCTAATTTATTTTTAGAGAAGCTGCTAAAATATATCTGCTTTAAGAGCCTAAACCATCAATCAGTTTTTTTTGGTTTGTTTTTCTCAATTAGTTTTTCAAATTTAAATATCGAGGTAAATTTCTTCTTGCAGTGTCTCACCCACGTTGAATGAACTTTTCTTTATAAAAATGATATATTCGAAAAGTGAGAAAGAAGAAAAAGAGGGGGAATAAGTTCTGAACTTTCTCTGGACATTCTTTAAATCCTACCAGAGAAACTTTTAAAATTAGAAGAAAATTGCCTCCTAGTGTTAAACTAATTCAATCAGATGCACTAACAAAGTTTATAGCGTAAGCCCGAAGTCTAAATGTATCATCGCACATTTCCAATTACATCCCGTTAGGCATGTGGGTGTTATAAATGGATTACATTTTGCAAAAAGGAACCAAGATAATTCCAATGTTGTTAAGAATGTGCAACATACATTCTTTGAAATACAATTACTGAAATAATGCAAAAAATTAAATATACAAAGGTAACCTTCGTCTTAACTTTATAAGTTATTGGGCGTAAAGATATAACGTGTTTTAATGATCAGTTTAGATTTGTACGGTTAAAAAAGTCGCACAATCTTAGCGACATTTGAAGGCTCTCGGTTCCTTTTTGCAAAAAGCAATGCAAATATAAAAAAGTGATGATGACAACCTGGGGTAGTTGATGTTCTAGGCGTGCGGGGTGTACCAACGATGTCCAACTCCCCATCCTGGGGCTCCTCCTGCCACGAAACAGTGCGAACACGGATCGGTGCCGATTTTTTCACGATATGATCTTCCGAGTTATCGAACTTGGTAATCTGCGCTGAGCCGTTCATGTTCAAAATCGATCGAGTCCAAAACAAACAAAACAAAATCGAAGCGATTTAACAACCGGATCCTCGAAACTTGAACTGAAACGTGTGACTTCAGGAGCGGAGTTCGCTGGCCGCACGCGTCTCCTCGGTTAAAAGTTTCGGTTCACTTTAAAGTAGCGTGGAGGTGCGCGCGGAAGGTTATAGCTCTCGCTGTTACGTCACCGTATCGATTCGACCAATCACGGGCTCGGCTCCCCAGCCCGCGGGAGGGGTTGGGGGTGGTGGGGGTGGCGATAGTCTTCATTCACAACGCTCGGCTTTCGCGCTGCGCGACCACTTGTGGCATGCGGAAAACTGGCCAATTTTTTCGCGTTTTTTCACTGGAATTCGTCTCGGCAGACTCAAACAGGTCACTCGGGCTTGCATCCCCTAAATCACGGGAAAAATCCCGAGACCCTTTCAAAAGGTATCTAGGCTAGGTGAACTTTATAAAGTGGTACAAGGGTGGCATGGGCTTAAAAAGTAGAGGGGCTGAAATCTGACATCCTCTCCTTTTTTTCTTTAAATTCTTACCTCTCACATAGGCAGGTTTAGGAACTTTTCTTGGAGGAGGGGGGGACGCAGAAGCGCACTTCACCAACAGGGCACTTTCTGGGGGCGGGGGGGGGGGGGGGGGC